TATTGTTGTCTCTTTACATTCTTCCTCTCGGGAATGTAATACGGAAACATGGACTTTATTTCCATGGGTAGGCTGATGATAATCAGCTATATCTTGTGTCGATGATAATCAGCTATATCTTGTGTCGATGATAATCAGCTATATCTTGTGTCATACCCGTCAATGTGAAAACATGTACACACACTCTGGGTGGTCGAATACCAACATACGTTGTTGGATGTCAGCAAACTGTTCGAAGTTGGACGACGACAGGACAGAGTTCATCCGCCTTGGAACCTGTCAGCAACTTCTGATAGTTCCACGTGTATCACTGGAGGTTGGTGAATCCACTGTTCAACCTTCTCATAAAGCTTGGTTTTCTTTTTTTTTTTTTACAAAACACTGAAAGAATAATTGACTTGCCTTTGCATGCTTTGTATGTGGCTGGCGCCTCACCTATTCGCGAACACCTGGTATCATCACAAGTTTCTCTTTAATCATTCGTAATATCCATGCATTTACTAAATGGTTTTCGAACAGTATGCCATCAAACTATTCACAAGGGGCTCGCTCCAATATTGGTTTTATTTCATACGTTGTTCAAAGGGCAACCACTCTCACTTTCTTTGGAAATTAACTGCCCTTGACAAGGAAAGGTCCCGGTCACTGCGACAGCATGGCAGCATACCGCTAGTGTTTCAACTGAAATAATCGTAAACGGTAGTGTGATTCGCAGAACATTTTGTATGGGATGACGGTTAAGCTATCATCTGTTGTCGACTGGCTGCTCGGCGTAAGTCGTCATCGGTAAATTCGATGTGTGTGGGGTGTTTACTGGGATCGTGCAATGGAAGTCACTGAGTTTTGTGGTCAGAAATAATACAGCAGACCCACACTGCCGAATTTCTTTCTACATCATGCCGTCTGTTGTCCGCAATTTAAGCTGTCATAATGTCCCAAGACACACCCGTCCGTGTCTTATTTTTTGTTGTAAAACTTAAGATAGCTTAGCGCGAAGACATTTTCAAAGACGGACTTTGCTAAGATTTGTTAAGATCTTTGTCCTTTCCCAGAGAATTTAGATATGATTTTGTCGCTTTTATTTCCGGTTGTCAATAAACATTTTTAATCGTTAAAAAAGTTCAAAGGGTCACGGGAGACGCATGGGTGGCTCAATGCATAGTTGCGTTCCTCAGCCATTCCAGGGGATGAGAGGGTTCGAATCCCTCATTCGCTCAGTTAATGAAATCTTGATCTTACAGGATCAGAATGGTCGACTTATCCACTCACTAAATCAGCGTCAGGGAAATATATTTTTAAAGATTTGCTGACCCGTTTGGACAGTATGAAAACTGACAGGGAAAATGCAAGTAAGAGATATATGTAGATCTAAATCTGGAAATGAGATAAGAGAGATGAGATTAGACCTCATTGAAGTGCCTTCTATTTAGGATTTGTCAGTCTTAGTTCACGAACATGTTTAAGGCAATAAGAACATAAATGTATGCGAATCTTTGCAATTTCAGAGCCTTTGTCCCTCTACACATGAAAACAGTTATTAATGAAACATGAAGCCTTTTGATATTTGATAAAACATTGACGTCTTTCGGTAATTTGCAGAAATTCTACATTCGGCAGAACACACCTGATCTAATTCATCCTTTGTTAAACTGTGTCAGCTTGTAATTAACCTTTACACATATACTGATGATTTCCATGTATAATGTACGAGAAAACAAGTTCTCTGCATGGACAGCCCAGCCTCTCATCGAGGAACTCCTCACATGACATTTCGGAGCACGGCCTTGCACACCTGCCTCACGAACTCCACACACGTTCTGTCTAGGACCCTGACGTCACAACCCCTTGTGGTTCAGGTACCACATCTTGTAATCAACAAGATGCTTCACTATGCTTCTATAAACAGCACTGAATGTATGTGCACACGTTGCTTGTTAACATGACGCACGATGTCTTCCCATGCTAGGACCGTCACATGGAATTGGTACACATTGTTACTCAAGGCACTTACACCCGTCAATATCCGGGGTAGGATAGGTCTTCAGCAACCCATGCTTGCCGTAAAAGGCGACTATGCTTGCCGTTAGAGGCGACTAACGGGATCGGGTGGTCAGGCTCGCTGACTTGGTTGATGCATGTCATCGTGTCCCAAATGCGTAGATCGATGCTCATGACGCCAGTCACTGGATTGTCTAGTCCAGGCTCGAATATTTACCGACCGCCGTCATATAGCTGGAATATTGGAGCTGGAGTCTGGCGTTAAACAACAAACAAACAAAGAGGACTCTTACTGGGTAAATGAAAATTGTGTGAGTGTATTGCGCAAGGGGTTGATCAGGACGTTACTCATTTCGCGAACACCTGTGTTTCGGCGATCTCTTCATATAATTCCTTTCACTATTGTTCTCTTTTTACGCACAATGGAATTTGTTTTGTCAGGTTCTCGAGTCTGATTCTTCTTGCGTGGATGTTTTGAATTTACAAGTTTGAAATAATGTGATAATAATGAATATGCACACATGTATTTGCCTTTACAAAACATTCGTGTTTGGCATCATCGAGGTCGCCATGATACGGACACATAACGTGCAACAAATATAACGGAGTACAACAATAATAACGGCGTACAACAATAATAACGGAGCACAACAAACAGGTTGTAAATGAGAGACGACAGATCAAAGTGACAGTTTATGAGTTTTCCAAATTCACTTCATAATGTTTATACTGTTGAAAGGTAATACTAGAATACCCATAAGGCAATTATGCAATACAAGACGTATCATTGCTATGAATATTAATTGGTAACTTCAGGCTTGCGTCGGTCGTGTCTGGCACGGCAGCAAGTGTTCTGGACAGAGATACGCCCCTTGGGTGTGCCAGATACCTAATGTGATCTTGTGTCGGTATCGCAAACTCGCACTGGTTGTGCTTCTGAGTTTGTCAGCGCCATATCCAGGCTCTGAACGTGGCAACAGCAGTATATATCTACCATCTACATCACATCTGGCTGTCCTCTTACAATAAGCTGACACGGTGTGAGTGTACTGCTGTCCAAAGTGGCGTCAAACCAATCTCACTTAACCCCTGCCAACTCATCCCAATCACCCCCTGCTAACCCATCTCCCTCACCCTCTGAAAACCCATCTCACTCACTCCCTGCAAACCCATCTCACCCACTCCCTGCTAACCCGTCTCCCTCACTCCCTGCAAACCCACCTCACTCACTCCCTGCAAACCCATCTCCCTCACCCCCTGCAAACTAACCTCACTCATCCCCTGCAAACCCACCTCACCCACTCCCTGCTAACCCGTCTCCCTCACCCCCTGCAAACCCACCTCACTCACTCCCTGCTAACCCGTCTCCCTCACCCCCTGCAAACCCACCTCACTCACTCATGGCTAACCCATCTCCCTCACCCTATGAAAACCCACCTCACTCACTCCCTGCTAACACATCTCCCTCACCCTATGAAAACCCACCTCACTCACTCCCTGCTAACACATCTCCCTCACCCCCTGCAAACTAACCTCACTCACTCCCTGCAAACCCATCTCCCCCACCCTCTGAAAACCCATCTCCCTCGACCCCTGCAAACCCATCTCCCTCACCCCCTGCAAACCCATCTCAATCACTCCCTGCAAACCCATCTCCCTCACCCCCTGCAAACCCATCTCACTCACTCCCTGCAAACCCATCTCCCTCACCCCCTGCAAACTAACCTCACTCACCCCCTGCAAACCCATCTCCCCCACCCTCTGAAAACCCATCTCCCTCACCCCCTGCAAACCCATCTCACTCACTCCCTGCAAACCCATCTCCCTCACCCCCTGCAAACTAACCTCACTCACTCCCCGCAAACCCATCTCCCCAACCCTCTGAAAACCCACCTCACTCACTCCCCGCAAACCCATCTCCCCCACCCTCTGAAAACCCATCTCCCTCACCCCCTGCAAACCCATCTCACTCACTCCCTGCAAACCCATCTCCCTCACCCCCTGCAAACTAACCTCACTCACTCCCCGCAAACCCATCTCCCCAACCCTCTGAAAACCCACCTCACTCACTCCCCGCAAACCCATCTCCCTCACCCTCTGAAAACCTATCTCAATCACTCCCTGCAAACCCATCTCCCTCACCCTCTGAAAACCCATCTCAATCACCCCCTGCAAACTCATCTGACACCCCTGCAAATCAATCTCACTGCATGTGTGATAAGTAGGTGCCAAAAAACTTTTAGAGGCGCTTCCTATCGAATATGGTGTGTCATTTAAAGACGCCACTGCAAACTTGAACACCACAATTATCTCAACCCGGAGCAATGCTCATGAATGTTAATAACACATACCTGAGGATGAAATATAACAGTTTCCAATATTAATTGATCGGAAGGTTCCACAAATGTCAGTGGATGTGAATGTTGAACAGTATCTTCTTACCATCTGAACGTTTCCCTCAGAGTCAGATGACCGAAGCTATCACGCTGGTGTGGTTGTCGATCGCGGCGACGTTGTGATCGTTAACGCGCAACGTGCAGTGGTAGCCGGCGTGTCGACCCCCAGCTCGGATCATATCGGTGATGTTCTCAAGTTACGGCCGCCCCTGACGTGGCCAAGGGAACAACTTTTGTTTGTTTTACCACTGTCATTATATAACGTAACCAAATCAATGACAACCTAGCACCGTGTGGCGGGACCGGATGTACCGGAAGTCACGTGACTGACAATCAGTTTGGGCCATTTCCCAAAAATCAGCGTCTGTTTCGTAGGTAAATACCGTGTTAAATTATTAAACACTAAAACAAACCACTCGTGTAATTATTTCAGATCCAGTTGATATATATTAATCGAAAATTATTCTACATATGTTAAATGAGGCAAAAGCAGTTGTTGTCGCCAAGCAGAGCTGGAGCTATGCGACAATCAATGTCCGCCCAGGAGGCCGCGCACGTAACGTTGTAATCATTTCCAATTAATATTGTATCGTATTGATGAGCCTTTAAGCTCGGAGCACGCACCGGAGTAGCACAGGGAGCGGCGGTGTAACGGCAGACGCAGCAGATTCTCTGCGACAGTCACCGGGACACGGATTACTGTGCTGAAGTCGGATACTGGAACCCACGACCCGGTGAGCCACAATGTATACGTAGCCTCCCTGATCCGATGTGTGAGGAGAGTCGGGTACGGAACTATGAGCCAGGGGACCTTCATGTTGGAAGTCCCAAGGGCTCTGCACGGTACATAACGCTCCCGGCACGTGTTGGTCTGGACCAGTAGCTTCCTTAACTGACGCGAGAAAACAGGTTCGTAATTTAGTTAATTTTGTTACGGGATACCCAAGAACCCTAAGGGCTCACCTCAGAAATAACTTTGTATTATTATATTGATTTTTCATCGACATTGAAAACTGTCATCCAGGATTAGTGTGTCATTTGATGTTTCGGGCGATATATTTTGACATATATTGCTGAACAGAGAATCAGCAACGTCAACGTATTGAATAACCCGTCAACCACATGTATCGCATTTATATAGGTTACATTTTCTGTAGCATTTATGCTTGACTTGAAATATGGAATATAAACAGCTGGGTAAAAGAAAGTATACGCTGGAAAACTGGATTGGACCAAACAATTACAAACGTTATCAAAACGTTACAAGGCTGAAGACAGTCACTGAAACACTGCACACATAAGGTCCACAACGCGATGACGACACCCGTATCAAATACACCATGGCCATATCTTGTTTGTTTCATGTCAAGCCACCCTCCATCATGAGTATTTTCGTAAGTCCAGCAGTGTATATGTTAGCGTGTCCTGGGAGATGTGCCCTCGCCGTCCACGTGTTGGGCGGCGTCATCATCGCAGAGAATGTTAAAATACATCTCCACAATGTCATTGCAGACAATATCGATAGAACACACGTTCGTTCATTTTGTACGTGAATGCTTAAATAATTACGTCAATAAAACACAACACGTCGAATGTGCCATTATATCGGTATCCTTGCTGCTGAGGCATGTGCTATATGCACAGTACCATGAACATCGACCCATTTAATCCGCCCCATTGATAATAGGAGAATCTGTGTAGAATGGACATGTAAAATTCATAACGAATAGAAAGATATGGAGATATAGGTGTGCCAGAACGAAATAGGAGTACAGGGCTGATTATTGACGTGGACGGCAACGACATTGATCCGGAGGTTGCCGAGTCCTCGCAGCAGAGTAGGCCATGAAGTACACAAGGGATTACCAGGAGTCGGGGAGGACGGGGGAAGACTGGTGACATACTTCAGAGGAAACACCAGGGGTGCTGAAGGGGGAGGCTGGAGGGGTGGGGGTATTGATGTGGCAGGCGGTGGTTTACTTCAGAGAAGGCTTGCTGGGGTGGCGTCATTGTGTGTTTTACTTCAAACGAAACATGGAGGTGATGGAATGAGAAGAGGAAAGGCGGCTGTGTACTACAAATGGGACTTGGTTCCCTGTAAATGGGGACTTCAGTACCGGGCCGGGAAAAAGTTCGTAGTTGTCGTGGTGTATTGTAGGGGGAGATGGTGGTGGTGTATTGTAGGAGGAGATGGTGGTGGTGTATTGTAGGGGGAGATGGTGGTAGTGTATTGTAGATGGAGGTGGTGATGGTGTATTGTAGGGGGAGATGGTTGTTGTATATTGTAGGGGGAGATGGTGATGGTGTATTGTAGAGGGAGATGGTGATGGTGTATTGTAGGGGGAGATGGTTGTTGTATATTGTAGGGGGAGATGGTGATGGTGTATTGTAGAGGGAGATGGTGATGGTGTATTGTAGGGGGAGATGGTTGTGGTATTGTAGGGGGGAGGTGGTGGTGGTGTATTGTAGGGGGAGATAGTGGTGGTGTATTGTAGTGGGAGATGGTGGTGGTGTATTGTAGGGGGAGATGGTGGTGGTATATTGTAGGAGGAGATGGTTGTGGTGTATTGTAGGAGGAGATGGTTGTAGTGTATTGTAGGGGGAGATGGTGGTGGTGTATTGTAGGGGGAGATGGTTGTAGTGTATTGTAGGGGGAGATGGTTGTGGTATATTGTAGGGGGAGATGGTTGTTGTATATTGTAGGGGGAGATGGTGGTGGTGTATTGTAGAGGGAGATGGTTGTGGTGTATTGTAGGGGGAGATGGTGGTGGTGTATTGTATAAGGAGATGGTGGTGGTGTATTGTAGGGGGAGATGGTGGTGGTGTATTGTAGAGGGAGATGGTTGTGGTGTATTGTAGGGGGAGATGGTGGTGGTGTATTGTATAAGGAGATGGTTGTGGTGTATTGTAGAGGGAGATGGTTGTGGTGTATTGTAGGGGGAGATGGTGGTGGTGTATTGTAGGGGGAGATGGTTGTTGTATATTGTAGGGGGAGATGGTGGTGGTGTATTGTAGGGGGAGATGGTAGTGGTGTATTGTAGGGGGAGATGGTGGTGGTGTATTGTATAAGGAGATGGTGGTGGTGTATTGTAGGGGGGAGATGGTGGTGGTGTATTGTAGGGGGAGATGGTGGTGGTGTATTGTAGGGGGAGATGGTGGTGGTGTATTGTAGAGGGAGATGGTGGTGGTGTATTGTATAAGGAGATGGTGGTGGTGTATTGTAGGGGGGAGATGGTGGTGGTGTATTGTAGGAGGAGATGGTGGTGGTGTATTGTAGCGGGAGATGGTGGTGGTGTATTGTAGGGGGAGATGGTGGTGGTGTATTGTAGGGGGAGATGGTGGTGGTGTATTGTAGGGGGAGATGGTGGTGGTGTATTGTATAAGGAGATGGTGGTGGTGTATTGTAGGGGGGAGATGGTGGTGGTGTATTGTAGGAGGAGATGGTGGTGGTGTATTGTATAAGGAGATGGTGGTGGTGTATTGTAGGGGGAGATGGTGGTGGTGTATTGTAGGAGGAGATGGTGGTGGTGTATTGTATAAGGAGATGGTGGTGGTGTATTGTAGGGGGAGATGGTTGTGGTGTATTGTATAAGGAGATGGTGGTGGTGTATTGTAGGGGGAGATGGTTGTGGTGTATTGTATAAGGAGATGGTGGTGGTGTATTGTAGGGGGTGATGGTGGTGGTATATTGTAGGAGGAGATGGTTGTGGTGTATTGTAGGAGGAGATGGTTGTAGTGTATTGTAGGGGGAGATGGTGGTGATGTATTGTAGGAGGAGATGGTTGTAGTGTATTGTAGGGGGAGATGGTTGTGGTATATTGTAGGGGGAGATGGTTGTTGTATATTGTAGAGGGAGATGGTTGTGGTGTATTGTAGGGGGAGATGGTGGTGGTGTATTGTATAAGGAGATGGTGGTGGTGTATTGTAGGAGGAGATGGTGGTGGTGTATTGTAGAGGGAGATGGTTGTGGTATATTGTAGGGGGAGATGGTTGTAGTGTATTGTAGGGGGAGATGGTGGTGGTGTATTGTAGGGGGAGATGGTGGTGGTGTATTGTAGGGGGAGATGGTGGTGGTGTATTGTAGAGGGAGATGGTTGTGGTGTATTGTAGGGGGAGATGGTGGTGGTGTATTGTATAAGGAGATGGTGGTGGTGTATTGTAGGGGGGAGATGGTGGTGGTGTATTGTAGGAGGAGATGGTGGTGGTGTATTGTATAAGGAGATGGTGGTGGTGTATTGTAGGGGGAGATGGTGGTGGTGTATTGTAGGAGGAGATGGTGGTGGTGTATTGTATAAGGAGATGGTGGTGGTGTATTGTAGGGGGAGATGGTTGTGGTGTATTGTATAAGGAGATGGTGGTGGTGTATTGTAGGAGGAGATGGTGGTGGTGTATTGTATAAGGAGATGGTGGTGGTGTATTGTAGGGGGAGATGGTGGTGGTGTATTGTATGAGGAGATGGTTGTGGTGTATTGTATAAGGAGATGGTTGTGGTGTATTGTATAAGGAGATGGTGGTGGTGTATTGTAGGAGGAGATGGTGGTGGTGTATTGTATAAGGAGATGGTTGTGGTGTATTGTAGGGGGAGATGGTGGTGGTGTATTGTATAAGGAGATGGTGGTGGTGTATTGTATAAGGAGATGGTGGTGGTGTATTGTAGGGGGAGATGGTGGTGGTGTATTGTATGAGGAGATGGTTGTGGTGTATTGTATAAGGAGATGGTTGTGGTGTATTGTAGGGGGAGATGGTGGTGGTGTATTGTATAAGGAGATGGTGGTGGTGTATTGTAGGGGGAGATGGTGGTGGTGTATTGTAGGGGGAGATGTTGGTGGTGTATTGTAGAGGGAGATGGTGATGGTGTATTGTATAAGGAGATGGTTGTGGTGTATTGTAGAGGGAGATGGTGGTGGTGTATTGTATAAGGAGATGGTTGTGGTGTATTGTAGGGGGAGATGGTTGTGGTGTATTGTATAAGGAGATGGTGATGGTGTATTGTAGAGGGAGATGGTGGTGGTGTATTTTAGAGGTAGGTAGTGATGGTGTATTGTAGAGGGAGATGGTGGTGGTGTATTTTAGAGGTAGGTAGTGATGGTGTATTGTGGAGGGAGGTGGTGGTGGTGTATTGTAGCGGGAGATGGTGCTGGTGTATTGTAGGGGGAGATGGTGGTGGTGTATTGTAGTGTGAGATGGTGCTGGTGTATTGTAGAGGAAGGTGGGTGGTGGTGGCTGATGGTGAACGGGAGTGCCATATAATTTTTCCGACTATGATGTTTATGAATCAATATCAAAAAGTGCTGATGCCATATGTTCGCGAAAAGGTGACCGTATCCTGCCCCATTATTTTTACCAGTCACAAACACATCCAAAGGCAAGTCAAATCTTCACATGAAAAACAAGGGAACATATGGTTTTAGTCAAAAAAGGAAATTCCATCATATTTGTCGCTGATGCGTCAGGGCCTTGAATCTTGTAATCATGATCAAACAGCTTCTGACAAGTATCGTATGACGCTCTTCGACCAAAGGCTGGAGCTGCTGGATTGTTGCTCATGACGGGAAAGTTGACTGTTGGAATGTTGACGTCATCCCTCTTGTCATACATCAGGGAGAGTGATTTGTCACTCTGAATCTTTATGCATAGATCTAAATATGAAACAGATGAGGCGGTCTCACTGGTCTCCTTTATTTCTAGTTCAAGTAGGAAAATCAGTGGAAGGGATTGGATATGTGATGGTTATTGAACGACATCAGATCATCGATACATCTGAAACTTAAGTTAAACTTCTTGGTCAAATTACCTTGTTTTGACTTTGTGAATCCGAGGTACAATTCTTATGCATATGCTTAAAGAAATGATCAGCAAGGAGTGGGAGCACAATTGGTCCACATCGGGATGCCAACTTCTTGTCTAAA